CTAATAGGTCTTCTAAGTGTGGTTTTTCTGCGTCCAGTGAGGCGCAAGCAAATGAGTGCTTGTACTTAAACATGATCAGAGTCTAAATATGTACTCCAGAACGAGCAACAGTCGTCTATCGAGCCTCTCCAACGATGACTGATGGCAATATGGTCTATTTGAGTCCATCGTCGGTTCCGTGCAGGTGGTCGCCCACACCGTGGAAACGTTCTTCTAGAGGAACCTGAAAAGGAAATCGTATTAGAGGTGGTCTTAGTGACCTGAGAGTGTGACCGCAGTGTCCATGGGACAACTGCTTGAGGTCAGCCACGCACGATCTTTTTGTAGGTAATTTTTGTGTTAGCTTCGTACTTGTTGGGACTTTACCGCCGGGGATGGATGTACAGGGGATAAGGCGACGTGTGCATTTGTAGAGTCGAAATATTCTAACACCACCCCTCCTTGTGGGAAGACATCACCGCTGCCATGCTGGTTGTCTGAAGGAAACATATTCGTTCATGATTAATTTATTACATTCCTCTGGAGTATTAAACACTTTATAAAACGTTATTTGGAGCGTGGTATCAATGGGATTCAGGAAGCACGTATCTTCCTATTTAGTACTTCTCAGCTGGGTGAACGTGGGTTTCATTGTTGATGTATACATTGGCAACGCGTTATTCACTGAGCTATTGAATCTAGATTTCTGATAGCGTGTTCAACGCGTTTGAAATTATTTTAATGAATTTTCGTCGTCTTACAACGTATATTAAGGGCTGCAAGTGATCAGTCTCTATTAGGATATGTGCATCTTGGCTGTATTTCCACAACATTACAATTGAGTCAATTTCAAAAAAGCTTATTACAAAAAGGGTATATCGGTGGAATCGTTTTACTAATAATCAAAAATGAATTAATTCAACCACATATTAGAAAGTTGAATATTTTTGCTTAGTTTAAAATGTTTCTCATTAAACTGATGATTTTAGAATTATTTCATCGAGCAATGATGCTTCTGTACTTAACTTGATCAAAGACTGAAAGTCTAAATGAATGAAAATTCTTATACTATGATATGTTCGGTATTCAGTATTCTTTAGCTTTCATTGTTATTCAATCTGGCAAAAATTTTTGATAAATGCATCTTTATATTTATTTCACATTATTTTCATGTAATGAGATGATACTAACTTAAGAAGATAGTAATTTGTTTTCAAACTAAGGAAAGATATAAGTTATTTTGTAGCATTAGCTTATGTAAAGCTGATGAAAGAAAGCGAATTATCATGAGCCCATTGTATTTTATGAATATTGTCCTTATCGCCTTAGTTAAGTTTGCTAAGGAAACTGATGGTGTAAAATTCTAATATTATAAATTTAGTATGGTTTTAGTAAGATCTTTGAGTAGGCATATACATAATTCCATCAAATGCCTCCTGTTTGAGACGCTTTCTGAAGATAAATCACAAATATAAAGTGAAACGCTAATACAAACAACCAAAATCTTCCGACACCTTTTGAACTTCATCACAGAACCTTAACATTAAGCAATACTTATTTAAATTTAGGAAGATCAGGTTCTTTCGACATGACCTTGCTATTTAACTAAGTGAAATGAAGAACAATTTATTTTGGGCGTTTGCGTTAAATATTAACTCTTCTACAATTTCCAGAAGGGGTTTTGTGGAGATTTTAGTAAGTTATAGAGTTGAGATCATGAGTCAATTGAAGCTAGACCACCATGGAAAACCTGGAAGCACTGGACGGCCGTTTCGTCCTATTATGGGACTCCTCAGCAGTGCGCATCCACGAACCCACTCTCGCGGGATTCGAACCCAGGACCTACCAGTTTAGAGCCGAAGCCCTTAACCGATAGACCACTGAGCTGGCATCCAACGGTGTTAATGTCTAACTTCAACTGATTCACGAAATTGAGCAACCATTCACCAATGTCATCAGTGAGTTACTATCTCACAACAGACCTGGTTGAACTCCACCGGTTACTGCTTCTCACTAGAACTCCAGGAAATACCTCAAGGAGTCAGTCACTAGTGAGCACATGATCATTGTCAGAAGGGGTTTTGTGGAGATTTTAGTAAGTTATAGAGTTGAGATCATGAGTCAATTGAAGCTAGACCACCATGGAAAACCTGGAAGCACTGGACGGCCGTTTCGTCCTATTATGGGACTCCTCAGCAGTGCACATCCACGAACCCACTCTCGCGGGATTCGAACCGAGGACCTACCATGGTGGTCTAGCTTCAATTGACTCATGATCTCAACTCTATGTCTTCTACAATTTGTTTGAAATACATTCATACTACGATGCCGCCCTGCAAGATTCGAACGCAGGACCGACCAGTCTCACATCAGAGCGCCTAACGACTAGACCACTTGTCCAGCATCCGATGGTGTTAATGTCTAACTTCAACCAATCCACGAAGATTGAGCAACCGCTCACCAATTTTCTTCAGTGAGTTGATATCTCCCAACACACGTGGTTGAACTCCACTGGTCACTGCTTCTCACTAGAACTACAGGAAATATCTCTTGAAGTCAGTCATAAGTGAGCATATGATTATAATCAGAAGGGGTTTTGTGGAGATTTTAGTAAGTTATAGAGTTGAGATCATGAGTCAATTGAAGCTAGACGACCATGGAAAACCTGGAAGCACTGGACGGTCGTTTCGTTCCGTTCCTCATCCACGATCCCGCCTCGCGAGATTCTAACGCTGGACCTACCTGTTTCGCGCCAAGCTTTTCCATGGCAGTCTAGCTTCAACTAACTCATGATCTCAACTATTGAAATTTTAATAAAATGTATTCGAAAAATTTTCATGTCTGCATTTCTAGGGTTGAATTCAACAAAATTTTATTTTTAGAAGATAATTGTAAATTTAACATTTTTTCAATCAATATTATTATTAATAATATTGAATTGAAAATACTTAAAATATTTTTTTCTACTATAAATAGTTAATAAATAATTGTAGCCAAATTGCATATTGATGTGATTAGGTTTTTTTAATTTTTCTTTTGTAGTGAAGAAAATAGAAAAACTAAATTGTTTTACAAAAGAGTAAATTTTAAAAGTGAAATTTAATTTAGATAAATTTGTATTACCTACTAGTTAAAGATATAAATTATTATTATCTTTTAAATGACTAATCCTATTGTTTTAATTTATATTATTTTTATAATGAAGTATCATATACATTTTATATCAAATGATTAGATTTACAAATAATATTCAATTTAAAGTAAGTTAGAAAAGAAAATAATCTGAATCCTATTGTAGTGAACAAGAACACGACTGGGGACAATCGAATGTATTTGAGCACAAATTAGAGACTATATCACTAAATTCTGATAACCATATAGTGAACAGTTAATTTGGAAAATAACAATCAATTATCTCAATCTTAACTGTTCGTTCTGCAAATTTTAGTCCATCTTCCTTGATTTCATTGTTCATGCATTTTCGTACCGATTGCGCTTCATTCCTGTTCTTTCCTTATCGATATTCTGCCGAAATACATTCTGTGTCCGGCATCACCATATACTACTTATATGGATATAACTAGACCACACCACAGTATGAGTATAAAATTTTATCTAAACAATCAATAATTGAGGAATCAAATGAAGTTGTTCAAGTGTTCATATTATTTGTGAATACCATACGTCTTTGACTTTAAGAACTGCTATAATCATAACTTTAATTTATTCAAGATCAGTTAATTAAACAATGGTTTAATGAACATGGTTCTAGTTTTTCAAACAATAAATAACGTTTAAATCCTAAGTAATGTCATTGTTTATCATATAAATGATAGCTAAGTAATCATACTTAAACTGTGTAAAAAGACGTATATAATCCAAAGGATCTCTAATAAGAAATAAGACACCCTTATTTCAAATAGGTATTCGACTATTCCTAAATCTATAGTCAATAAACCAAATCAGTTGTTCAAGTTTTCTTGAAAAAAATACTCTTTTTTATAAGCGAAGATGGATAGTGGCTAGTAGTGGGATCCAGGATGAGAGTTTCGTCCTATTTGGGACTCGTCAGCTGGATGTACCTGCATCTTAGATTTGATGTTCACTCTGGATCACTATTAATAATGCATTAATCAACGTTGTTACCATGTAGTGTTCTTTTTTCCCAGTGGGATATAATATTTCGTTATTCATACGTTGACTTGTTTTAGCAAAAAATCGATCCTTGAATTATCTTCTGGAAGATCATCAGAGATAAAGCGTATCAATCGATTTGCCGATTGATACTTGTTTTCTGAATGTGCTGGTATTTGAAAACACCTTATATTAGTGAGGATACTTTTGACTTATTTCCAAGCCTCCAAAGCATATAACTTGGGCAATATATCTGAGCAGTTGTAGAATGATAAGCATTTCGTCCATCAGCCTACTATTTTTTTACTGCGGCAGGCAACAAGAATTAAATCATTGTATTCCCGAACTAGTTTTTCAACTTTTAAGCAATTTGTTCAAGGCCTAATCGCCCCGTCTTATGATTCTAGCAAAATAAATAATTATAGAAGCGATGACATTCGAAGATTTCATTACTCCTTAAATTGACCAGCTGATAGCCCAAAACATTTTGAAAACATATGCAGCTTCTTGAGTGATGTCTTCATTACGCTTAGAGTGACTGGAGATTCAATGCGGTATACCTTCAAATGCACCAAATAATTTTTCGCAGCCTTCAAGTATGTAATTCTGTTTTTCACGTTCTGATCCATTGAAATGAATCACGCATCTAATCAGTGAACTCTCGTACAGAATTATATCATTTTATTTCCATGTAATGCATCAGCAGTTAAAACAATTAAATTGATTTTATCATATTTAAAGGCAATCAATCGGATGCAACTAAATCTCACTACAGTTCAAACATCAGCAATACGAAGTTAGTGTTGTTCCGTCGTACTATTTGAACTTGGATTAATGTGAATTTGGTTATTTATTCTATGAAGTGGCTTACATTGAGTCACAAAACATCAGAAAATCTAATTTTTCTACTTACTGGAATATTACAAATATATTTATTTATTTATTTAATTCCGTTATTCACTAACACGATTTAAGTCGGTAATTATATACAACGGTAGCCGGGATCTATATTTCGATCACAATCAGCAAACGATTTAATTGGAGTCAGATACATCGCCACTAAAATGATGAACCAGCAGATAACCTCTTCGTCCGATCTAATTGGCATCAAAATAAAGGGCCGCAATAAAGTGTTGAGCCCTACTACGAACCTAACGCAACGTGCAAGACTACACAGAAGATGAACATCTCGAACTCTACACATTCAATGAACGTACTAAGTGGCTGACTTAATCGAAGAGCAACTTAAACGACTAAATCTGTAATCCGACGCACTAAGCAAAACCAGTACAGCAGCGACATGGACATGCTCATATCGTATTACGTTATCAGTACTTTGTTACCATGACAACTCTGCACACTGATCTAGTTGGCAGTTCGTTCCACTATCATAACAATGATCATCATCTTCTCATCATCACATTATTGACATATCATCACCTAACTTGGAATTATTACTGCTTTTCTCGTTGACATTAAATTAAAATGTAACCAAATCCCTCTAACAACTGCAAAAACACAACTCGCTGTATTCCATTCGGTACCTCGTCCACTTTTCTCAATTTATTCTTCTTTAAAGCCATGGAGAAAGAGTAATAAGAGTATAAGAAAACAGAATTAGATGTCTACCGTTACCTGTAATCCCAACGTGATCAACTATAAAAAGCATTATCATCAAAAAGAGTTTATGTATAAATCCAACTAAACAGCATTTTAACATTTAAGGGAAGAATTTGGGTTTCCGCAATCCATAATCCCAAGGGACTCCGGTTCTTTGATGATATGGTTCATAAATATCATTTGGATAATATTTTGGTGTTCGCCATTGTTTATTCAGTAAATTATTTATTAAAAAAGTTGTTGCACGATTGGTCAAAATGTGCTCAGAACGTCGATTTAATTCAGATTCACTTCGTCTGTGTAACAATATAAAAAGAATAAATAAAAACTGAAGTAAAAAGCAATAAAAAGCAGTAAAAAAGCAATGAATAAACGATAATCAAATATAACTCTCATACGTCCACAAACTTTATTATGAGAACAACTAGAAAATAAACAGCACAAACAAAGTGCAGTTGAAAATGTTAAATGTCTTATTTTTCCATGTGTAGCTTCAAGGTAATGTGTTCACTGTGACACACAAAAGTAGATCTCATGTAAGTACAATTCATGCAAATAAAACTGTACACATACACTGTTGAAAAATAATTATTTTTGTTCATCTTGAGGTTAATCATAATTATTGATTTACATCACAAAACTACACAGATCTTCATTTGCTTTAAATAACTATTCATTACTCGTCTACATATCACAAAGATGGAGAAAACTAGATTAAATACCTATACAATATCAATGTCCCTTCGTTACAACAAAATTATTCAATGACGTTATTTCTGTGAATATTTTTCAAAATAAAATAATGTATAATAACAGAAGTATATATATATATATATATATATATATATATATATATTACCTATATAAATGTTTAGCCCGACCACTTCGTGCATGAATATATGCACCCCAACGAAGACGTTTAAATCTATCAATAGCATCTTGATTCGGAGGGTTATAGTCACCAGTTTCTGAATAATATTTCTTCACCTCTTCACTTCTGCGGTTTCGGGATGGTATCTGCAAAACACGCCACTGACTGTTGAAATGTAAAAGTATTTTAAATTTAAGCATTCACATGAGTGATAGTAGTGATCAAATGACTATTGGGAATAACGAAATGATATCACATAAGAGCATACACAAGATAAATTCATCAAGAGAACTTTAATTTTTCACAAATGAACTATGATTCATTTACGAGCAAATAAATTAACTACGAACAACCATAAACATATATGAAAAAGATATTTTTGGTGATCGATTATGTAATTCGATTATGCAATTCTCATATTGTCAATGGTGTAAGTTGTTCCACTAGCAAAATACAGTTAAAGCAAATCAGATATTTGAGATGGTTGAGAAGATTTGTAGCTCAAGTGGGTGATTTTGATGTAGGTTTGTTCTCTGAGCTGGATGGTTTGGTCATGGAGCTTTCATCGTCCTTCTGAACGACATCATCAGCACAAATCAGATATTTCTTTACACATCACTTGCTGACAGCTACTAAAAAAATAGATTAACGTGTTTACGTTTTACGATAGAGATTTTCAACCAGAATATTCCGATGGAAATGGAAATAATCCGTCTTAGTAAATTTAACGTGATATCTATCACTCGAATCTATTTGACGAATAGTTACAGCTTAAAATTCACTACCATTGCAATCCCTTGGCAAAAAATTTAGCTTAATTTGATATTTTACACATTGCTATAAAGTATTCATATTTATTCGACGGTAAAACCTTATCCGTCATATGAACAAGAATACAATGTGTAAAAATACCTGGATATGTTGAACATTATAGTAGTTTAGAAGCGAAAATGTCGACCCTTAACCAGTGAAGCACGTTTATTTGGTGAACATTTCAAGGTTATTAATGAGAATAATCTGGTTTACTTAGGTAACTATAGATATTATTAGGTCAATCGTACGCGTGTCCTTTTTATTATCCTTCCCATTTTTATATATTGCTTGCAGGACAACTGGTCAATATCTACTATCTTATAAACGAGATTTCTGTGAGTAATTAAAAAACGAAGGATGAGAAATAAATCTTATTTAGTGAACAAAATAAACAAACGAAAAAAGACATTCGAAAAGTCGGATAATGAAGAAAATTATTGATATTTAGGAATTTTGAAGCAGAATATTACAGATCATAGGTTTGATTCTGATTTTCATGAAAATGAAATTCGATTTTCACAATTTTCTACTTCTAGTAGTAAAGTTAATTAAGCAACACTTGATAACGAGAGCGAAATATTTACATTTGAATCAATATCAAAGTGGTATGCAAAAATGCTTTCAGTCAAACTGAAATCGAGAAAAAACAAATCCAACAACTAGCTAAAAAATCAATTATTTCTAGAATGAGGTCTGTGAAGATCGCTTATATTATGAACTGATAACTATTACAAACAATGTGAAACTACCAGCACGTTTTTTTCCTGGTGTAGAGATTGCCTACAAATAACACAGAGGCTGCAGGACCTTAGGGTCTCAGGTTCGATTTCTAGCAACGAAATCGTCAACCCCTTGGAAGAATTTCACACTAGGACGAAATGTTCGTACAATGTCTATTAGTTTTTGTTTATTATTTGATAAGCTAATGTTCGTTATAACACCAGGTAATGATAATAACATAGACAATTAAAATGAAGTATGCGTTACATATTGTAACACTTGCATCATGCCAATTAAGATTTTTATTTGCTATTATCGGTTTTCTGTAATCCGAATAATACTTCTATAACATTAAAATTATATAAACTTGACTAATATGCAAGGAAAAAACAACATATTCATAGCAGAGTAATAACAGGACATCAATAAACTAACTTGAAATTGAAAAGATTGTTGACATTGCTAACAGGTCCTATAGATGGTCCTGTTGTAGAAACAGATCGTAATAAAGAATTAAATACTCCGTAGAAATTTTTTAGGCATAATGATGAATTTGACTGAATCATCAATATCTAGATTTTTATAAATTTCAAAAGAAAATTGTTAAAAATTAGCGAATTTCCATCAACAGAGAATGTAAATATTATTCGGTTAAATTATGATGGATGATCATTGATGTTTAGTGTTAGTAAAAGAACTAACGAGTGTAGAAAAGCTTGTCGAGCGAAAAATTAAAACGTCGATAAATCCGAGGAACGTATTAACAAAAGAAAAAAACTTTAAATAGAAACTGAGAGAAAACAAAAGGATTCGCACTAAAATCTGATACATATAAAGGAAGTTTTCGAAATATTTATAAAAATTCACAATATAGAGACAGAGTTTAAGAATCCCCACAACCTATCTCACTACAATGTTGTTCCAAACATACTTTAGATACCGGATGGTAGTGTAGTGAACAGAACACTGGTTGGGGACAATCGAATGTATTTAAGCAAAAATTACAGACTATCTCAATAAATTCTGATTACCAAACAATGAACAGTCAATTTGCAAATTAACAACCAATTGTTTCAATCTTGACTGTTTCTTCTCTTATTCCATTGCTCATGCATTTTCCAGACGTTTGCGTTTCATTTCAGTTCTTTCTTCATCGGTCTTCTGCCAAAATACATTTTATGTCTGACCCATACCATATACTACTTATATAGATATAAGTAGACCACACCACACTCGTCCCCCCTTTAAAGCATTCGTTCATGCGGTGGTTCTGCTCACCACGCCGCTATCTTCTTCCACTGCAGTCTGTGCCAAACTCTCCGTCAGAATGTCGAGTCTGCGGCGCGCTGACCTCCATAGCTCCGTCGACCTGCCGGGGCACCAACATCCGCATCCACCCGGCACCTGGGACGTTCAACACCAGTACTCCAACGGCCTGCTGAGCCATCTACATCCGATGTCCGCCCAGCAGCCGCACGTCCCACTGCTCCTCTCCGTCGACAGCACCCGCTACAGCCAACGCCGCCCCGCCAGAACACTCCACTCGACGCCACCTCTCCGCACCAGACTGCCCCAACTAGCACCTCAACTCCAGACCCGCAGCGGCGTCCGCAGAACAGCACCCTCCCTCCCCCTGGTTAGCAGCGACACCAAATGTAGTGAACAGAACACTGGTTGGGGACAATCGAATGTATTTAAGCAAAAATTACAGACTATCTCAATAAATTCTGATTACCAAACAATGAACAGTCAATTTGCAAATTAACAACCAATTGTTTCAATCTTGACTGTTTCTTCTCTTATTCCATTGCTCATGCATTTTCCAGACGTTTGCGTTTCATTTCAGTTCTTTCTTCATCGGTCTTCTGCCAAAATACATTTTATGTCTGACCTATACCATATACTACTTATATAGATATAAGTAGACAACACCACAGTAGTAGGTAATTTAAACATTTTCATGAATTAAAAACAATAAATACTCTTACTAATCTATAAAGTCCAAATTAGGAGTGTACTGAACGAGAACACAGAAGGGGACAACCAATTTATTTAAATATAAAATTACAGAATCTCTTGGTAAAATATCAGAACCATATATTGAATACTTCATTTGCAAACTTCCATCATTTGTCTTTCAAATTCATTATAATTCTTCCAAGTCACAATTATTTCCTATTTCCGTTTCTGTTTTCTTCAAGTCGAACTTCATAGCCTTCTGCTCCTCGGTTTTCCAATTCCAATTAGTACCACATACTACTTATGTCGACAGACATACACCACAGAAGGAATAGAAAGATCCTATTCACTAGTTAATTGGATAATTATCAATGTCCGATAAAATATGAAATAAACTGAAACATATATAAAGTTAAAATCTAATCATCACTCAACATAATAAACAATGAACAAAATACAACTGCATTGACTGTAATGAATCAACTTTCCTTTAAATCATTTAGTATTTATCATAAACACTCAGCCGACCAAAGTAACAAACATTCAATAAGCAACAATAAGGATAGTAATCAAGAAGGTGAAGGAATAAGTGCAAATAATTTCTATATTATAATTATTAATGAAAAATTACTAAAGTGCGTTTACAAAATCACTTTTATAAAAAAACAATCCGCCATTATTATTATTATTCTTTTTACTGGTAATGCCGAAAAAAACTAAAACAGTCAAAACTACTGGTATCGGATAGTACCAATTAAAAAACATAAGTAATAATATAAACTAGTCGCCGTAAAAAAAAGGGACCACGAAACCGAAAACAGAGAGAACAGAGTGTGAGAAAATGACTAAGTTCATGATATTCAATTATAATAAAAAATAAGAAAATAGTAAAGTAAGAAAAGTTGACAACAGCCGTGTTTGATAATAATAAATACTAAAATAAAATGCTATTGATGTTATGTAATTAAATAAGACAAACAAGGTGCAGCTTAGTTTACATAGACTTATGTATAAGCAACATTAGAATAAAGATATAAATGATAAAATTAGTGCCTTTTTGAGAAAGAACATTAAGTAGTTTGCTGATATGAATTCTGTGTAAATCGGTTTGATTACACATACTAAAAATATTTTTTCGATGTTAATTACAGCCATTCTATGCTACATCATAATAAGAGATAGTTTTAATGATGAATAAAACTCGACTAGGTATATATTGATACAGTAATAAATAGATACAAATTAAATCAAATAAAAGAGTATCAAAAAAAGTGAAATTATTAGATAAATTAAGCAGAAAAATTATTGGAAGACAACTTTAAGAGTAAATCATAATGAAGTGACTGCAGTTTATGAACGCAGTAACTGTAAATAAGAATTTAGCATGAATCGCAATAAAGAATACACAACAATAGAGGGGATCAATGATATGTATTTCATTTGCGTTGATTTATTTAACACTTGACAAAAATGTCTTGATTATTTTATACACATTTAAAAATAACTATATATGTATTGTTGATCATCAATCAAATCCCTGGATAATTAGGCATTAGTGAAGGATCTAAAGCTCGATACTGATGATGCATATCACGAGCACCGTTATTTATATCGACCTGTCTAGCGACATCTTCCAAATCATGACGAAATCTATAAAAGTAGAAATAAAACGATGGATAATTAGCGCAACCCTCGTTGACACTGGAGTTACACATAAATTTACAAGAATGTAGTTTCAAAGTGAATAATTTCACAAATGTGTGACAAAAGTAAAACTTTGTGTAACATGAAATATTCCATTTAATTGTCTTGTCTAACCAATCCAAGTAGAAATAATGAATAATTAAACAACTCGAAAGGAACAGCCAACGACAAGATAAATTCCTGTAACAACATACGGAATCCAACAAGTAACTGAAGACAAAAGTAAACAAGTGATGAGATACTACGACAATCTATATATAACAGCAATCAGTCGGTGTAATAAAAAGAGAGGTTCAAGCACCTCAGGAAATAAATATTTGAATTGGACCATGGCCATCGTTGCACCACTGTAGCCATTCGATAAGACTAATCGTGAAGTTTAGTGACAGGCCATTACTAAGTTAGATACTAAACAGTACTAAATAGTTTTATATTTCCTGTGCAAAAGTTATTTTGAATTGTAATTGGTGGCTTGAAGCCAAGTTAACACATGTAGTTGAATTATTTATACAAATTTCAGGTTAAAATGATGAGCAATTTTTGAGGTCATCAATTTGACTTGATTTTTCAAGGCTATGTCTGTATAGTAATAAAAATACAAAAGAGCCACCATAAATTCTAATTTATATAGACAGATGATTGCGTGGACGTTAAGTTTTAGAAACTAAAGAAATTAGCTTTTATCAAATAGATTATAAGTACCAGCTTCTTGTGATTATGCAAAACCTATGTCAAATATTCCAAAAATGGGTGAACATATCATTTGGCACAGACGAACAAAAAAATTAAACAAAATTGCATGGGGGTATTATGAACACTACTCTTTCCTACTCACTTAGTGACCTTAATCAGATTGATAAAAACTAAAAGGAAGATTATGAATGCTTAAGCTAGAACAAAACATTCTTTGACTAAATAACTTTAGTAAGAGGTGTAGAAGAGTGTTAGAGAAAATGAGTCCAGATCTATCGGTTGTATCGGGACAATTTTGTTTATGTCAATTCATATGCATGTAGGTCCCTTACGACATAGTCTATTGGTAAGAGTACAGTAAAGCTTTCAATAATACGTAGTGTAAAATACATACAAATGGTAGAGATGCTGATTGGCATAAGCAATGATACTGATCAATTATTAAACAACTTTATTATATTGAGCAGATTTTGAAACTGTAAATTAGCTGTAAAATAAGCTACGTCAAGTTTTATCAATAAAAACAAGATTACCCTTTTGTTTGAACAATGTTTTTCCAGCACCTCAAAATGATGATAAGAAGTGATATGAAATCATCAGAAGCTATTTTCGATGTGTACAAGGGCTAGTAGCAATCACAAAGAACTATTAACTGAACCTCTCAAGTTCTATGCCAAATGTTCGATAAACTCACAATATTATCATTTCGAGATTATACAAAAATGTTTACTTATTGTGCTTAGTTCGATAATTTCCAGTCAATTGGTAAACATTAAAAGATCTGCAAACTCAATTGTGTAGTTATATTACTGAATTTTTTTAAAATAAACGAACTAAATAAATATGAGTGAAATCGAATATACCGCAAGCATTTAATTAAAATGACGGATTTTGTGTCATATGACACAACTTACTGATCTAATAGAACAACTGCTTTCTTTTTAAATATGAAATCCGATTCATACTGACCTAAAACAGATTGTTGAACGCGACTAGCCAATCTAGTGTAGAGTACAGTTTCTACTGTCATTTGACGATTAGGCAATGAAGCCAATACACGATCAAGACCTTGTACATTTGAAAAGCTAAACACACTGCCATGTGCACCATTCAAAGTACCATCGGCTACATGAAAAAAAATTCAAGGAAAATAAATAAGCGCAAAGCAAATGAAACCAACTTTAAAATTCTTAAACATCTTATATATTCAGATGACTGATTTAATACATTTCCACTACAACCATTTACAGAATCTGCATTAAATCACTGATCTATATGATGTTAATAATGAATAGACGAAATTCAAGTCTTTTAAGAAACAAGAGTTCGTCAGAGGTTGAGGATATACCCAATAAAAAAGTAGCGAGAACCAAGTTGTTGACATCTTAACGACTACATAAATACGTTTCAAGCAGAAACCCTTCCAATTTACGAGGGTATTGATACAGATAGCCAATGATTGTTATCATCTGGATTCCTCCACAAAAAGATAAATAGTGAAAAAATAATCTTTGAGCTAAAAATAATGACATCAGTTACTTGATTAATTCCAAAAATATTGATACACTAAATAGTTATTATGTTCGAATGCAGAGTCTTTCAGTGCTTCACACATAAAACTTCGTAGACGTTAAGTTGTCTTACGGTAAAAAAAAATCTGCATTTTTTAAATCCCCAAGTAAATAGGTACAATTACAACGCACTAATTACAATGAATACTACTGATTACAGAAAGAATTATCCTTTTCTCAAAACTTTACATTTTGTTGAAATGTAGAAATATCCGAAGAGAGTACTTGACTTTTGACTATGAAGAAATAATCTAATTATTAAAAAGGCAATTTATTTGACTGAGTGTTTTGTTTAATCTGAAAACAACTTTAATCATCGACCACATTCAACTAAAAAAACTCGACAACACTTACACCATCTTATAATTATCCTGTCATTTTCTACGGATAAACAATTTGTACGGAATAACTTACAAAATGTATTTCTATCTAATGGAGGAGAACCAAATAGACTTAACGGATATTGTGCTGGAAAGCCATACTCATCAAACATTGGCAATCGAAGCGCTGAACCAGTAACAATAATACTAAGATAAAGAATTCCCATTAGAAATTTGACCACTTCTTCAACCGTATTTAAACCAAATATTTCTTCTGTAACATTATCATGTAGATAATTTTGTAGTCCAGAATTCGTACGAAGCTGTGTAGGTGTAAATAAATATGAAATTGAATTTTTCAATTATTTATATGGAGATAGGAAATGAAATAATATCCATTATTCATTATTTGTGTTCAAAAATTTATATCTGAATGTATAAGAGATTATATTACACAGCCTATTTCAGAAACAAATTCATCGAAGTAATACATTTTTGGAAGAAATTAAAATGGTTCTCTGGACTAAGATTTTCTGACTGTTGATACTGATCAGCCATAGATGTCAGTCAGCTGCATAAGTAATTATTACTTATAATAAAAAGTTTTATCAGCAATCTAAACTTAGACGGACTAATGTTGAAATGAGCAAGAAGCCAAGTGGAGAAAACCAATTTATTGTTCAATGCGATGAAAATCATGCACTAAATACATCATTTACACGTCATATTTGCATTTTCTCTACCTACTCCACTATTCCTCCAATTCTGTTGTTATTTCGATTGCTCTCCGATTACTTTTCTGTTCTCTTCAATTCAGTTTTCTGCTGCCAGACATTCCACTCTCGATTGTGGTTACATACTACTTATATCTGTCAGCATAAGTGGCATACACTACAATGTTATTGCTTAGCAACAACTGGAAAGGAGAGCCCAGGACAAAGTAGGTTGAATATTTCTAGTCAGCGGCCTATGCCCCACGAGAGGTAACAAGTGTGAGGAGAAATGTTATTCAGAAAACAGACCGAATAATAACCATGAACTAGAACTCTTAGTGAGTTGTAGTGGTTTATGTTAATTGGTTATTATAAATAGAAATATTTATACGTTTTATTAACCACCAAAGAGTATGAAGTTAGCAACACTGTAAAGAAGTATGAACACTCACTAGGAAATATAAAATAGAAATAAATGAAAAATAAACCACACAACGGACGGGCATCAAAGTTAATCAATAGTTGACTCCAAATACGAAAAAAAACACTGGTCCTATTACGCTTAAGGAATAAAAACATAACAGTGACGAAAGGTAATTATCAAGTTTTTCAAGACTTAACTCTACTGAGATACTTGATCTTGTCAGCTAAGTGTAATCTGAACGACCCCAAACCGGTCGTTGAATAAACAAACATAGGGATAAAATTTATTCATAATAACTGATCTTGTAAATTGTCTAAAAAGGATTTAGAAAAATTGGATATCTTCGACCAGACATTCATAGAAATACAACTTACAGCACAGAATAGTGGAGCAATCAGAAGCATACTTTTTTCAAACTTAGATGACTTTAACTAATTAATTCTTACTTTAATTTTGTTTTTAAGTACTCACAAACTCCTAGCAATAGACACTTCTGTGGCTCCATAATAAAGCTACCCACTTCGGTCTGGGCATCCGAGTAGTATCCAAGCTCACACATAAATCCAATGACCTGTGTGGCGCATATATATTTTAGTGTCCCTTTATGCCAATTTGTATGTGTTTAAATCAATAAATAAAAATTACTCCGAATAACGTTTATTCTTATTAGTTATTAAAATATAATATACAAAGAAGGAAAGAAAATAAAACATTAGGTCAATAAAACACTCACTTTTATCGTACTACCAGGAACACCAACTAGTCCTAAACCACCTTCTTCCATTGGACTAGCAATTTCATGTCTCCAAGACTGTAGTTCATTATCATGTATGATCTGTTCAGTCCCACCAGCTATGTGGAGTAATGGTAAATTTAAATTTATTTCACTACACAAAATAATTAACTGAGGTTTTTACTCAATATATCAATAACGTAATGATAGTATAATTTTCACTAAAAAATAACCAGATCAGGTTAGGAATTGTTATAAAACACTTTTTTGTTTTATTGTCAATTTATGCTATTGAATGCTTATGCTATGAGAAAAGTTGGTACATTCCCCATTAAATAAGTTACATTAACAAACTGGTAATCCTACAAACCAATTTTTACGAGAGATTAACTATAACTTTCGTCAAGTCTATAGGTGGGATAAACAGCTGACTACAACGACTACTATCTCCACCGATTCCAACCAGTTTACGTTGACTTCTCTAACTGGTGCAAATCATTCAGAAAAACCCAATGATTTGATCAATCCTTGACAATCCATCGACATTTTTACTGTTGAAACTATAGTCACATTTGAAAATTTTTATATACATATACATTAAGAAATTCTAACAACAACCAATTCCATTTCATTCAATTTGACAACAACATCCAAATAAAGAATGTTTTTAATTAACAAAATTGTTCATAGTAAATTCACTCTGGAGGACTGGTCTTCTAAATTACAATTAGACAATCCCAACAGATTTGTTACTCAATAGTAAGGTGAGTAAAAGAAAATATCTTAAAAATGAAGTATTTTCGAAAGGTATATAAATAAATAAACGTATTTAGGAGTAAGCTAAGAAAACGATTTCCTTCTCTTTCTTTTTTCAGACCACGCAACCTTGATAAATTTCAAGTTGGTATATTGAAAAATCTACTTTCCGCTTTACAACACAAACTGATATTTTTAAGATGAGTGGTCAGTTCTCGACAAAGATGTTTTGTTTAGTCACGACCCTTTACCATAAACACCTGATTATATTCATAAATATTACATAGTTCATTAAAAAAAATGGACTTGAAACTTAAAGGTAAATATCAGTGTGTTAGTTATGAAAACTAAGCATCACACTGAAATAGTACGGGCATGAAAATTTTTCTAGGAAGTTATTTGAGATATACTGGAGTTAGTTTAATCTTTGTACCACAGTAACATTACAAACTAATTGCACCAAGATGACGGTAATTTACTAACACGAATAATTAAATAGGAAAACTTATTGCTACAAGATTTATTTAAGTTTCGGAAGAACAAGAAATCACTTTCTTTTAAACGGCCAGTAGATAGGTTTCCATCCACTCAAAGAGTTGATGCGGAATATTCAGAATATAACTAAAGCCACTTCAGTTTTTCGTAGTGAGTATATTGATTATAAAAGAATGAGTAAAATGTTAAAAGTTGTGGTTCAACGTTTAAGCACTTTTTGTTAGTTAGTCAGCTACGGCGTAGGATCAGGCAAATATATGCATCGGTTCAAGTTGCCACACCTCATTAACACAACAGGATGAACACCAGATTCAAAGAGGTAGTTAATTTAATGGTGGTAATATATAAAAGAAAGATTGTACATGAGGATATAATACAAGAAGAAATAATTAGTTCATAGAAAGAAGAGTATAAAGCAATTTTGATCCCACGGTTTAAGGGAAGATAAACAATGCATACAACTTCGCCATTGTGATCGATTCTCAACCATGTCACACAGGGTCTCCAACCATTCGTTACAATAGTCACGCGGGCCCCAACCAAGTAGTCCTCGTCTACCAACATGGCTCAGGCTAAAAGTTAGTGACTTCAAGCACTGATGCCACGCTTTGGTTTCGCCACACCTAACTCTTTTCCAACCAACCCGAATACTAGCCAACATTGAGCGTTGTGGTAATCGGTGTTCAGGCATAGGTAACACGTGGGCCGACCATCTCAGCTGATGAAAACTCACAATCTCATCAACTGATTCACCACTTTTCCCTAATACCCTGCATCTAACCTCACTCTTACTTGCCTGGTGATCCAAGCAGATGCTGGCAATATTTCTAAGACATCTGTGGTCAAATACTAGTAACTTACAACTACCTTCCACTTTTCATGGCCACGTTTCGCAGCCATAAAATAGAACAGAACAAACTACCGCGCAGTATACTCGTCCCTTAGTTGATAGACGGATATTTCGTCTTCGCCATAGGTGACGTAAGTTGACAAGACCCAAACGAGCTTTATGAATCCGTGAAGAGATTTCGTCGGGCACCAACCCATTAGGGCTAATTGGTTGAGCAACGTAATGAATCCACTAAGAATGATGACGAAACGAACGATGAATGAACCATGAAGATACGTTCTCCATTTGATTTCATATATTTTACTTCAGCTATCCGTGTTTGGGCGACGATGTTAACAAAAAGCCAAATACCAATTAAATTAGATGGTTTTGTTTCAGACACTTATTTACTCAGGCAGATTGTAAGATAAGAAGCTGAGTTCAAAGTTTATCTTCTCCGCTTCTTATCTTACAATCTGCCTGAAAATAAGTGTCTGAAACAAAATCATCTAATTTAATTGGTATTTGGCTTTTTATTACCATCGTCGCCCAAAACAGGGATGGCTGAAGTAAAATATAATGAAATCAAACAGAGAACGTATCTTTATGGTTCATTTATCGTTCTCTCCTTTATCATTCCTAATGAAGTTAATACACTGTTACAGAATATTCAGATTTCAATATTGCGGTTACAAGGTAAAATAATAAGCTGTCCACCTAATTTTACGTAGATATTTATTATCAGCACCTAAACATTAAGTATAGATCATACTATATGATGTGGACATGTATGATATTATAACAATGAAATACCTTTCTCGCACCTTGGTTTACGTCACAAAATCCACCGTACATGAAATTCTGAGTAGGCAGATAGAAGAAAAGAACAACAGAAGTACGAATAAAGAGAAATCGACACTAAAAGCGGAAATAATACTTACGGTAAAATAGACGGACGTAGTTTGAGGTAAACTGTTCCAATGCATGATATATTAGCATAGCATCTTCACGATATGGATAATTACCTAAACTATTTGGATCAAATACCTGAAAGTATCAAAATGAAATGGCAAGATAAATACAGTAGTAGGATTTATAAAACAGAACAGATAATTAATGACGTCATCCCTTTTTAATATTCACACTGAGTAATGTGTATAACATATGTGAGGCACAATACTTGTATTATACGAGACTCATATTAAACTATACCCCCTAAAACCAAAAAACGTTTGACAGGTTAGCAGTTTTACTTCAAAATAACACAGCTAGACGAAATCGACTACCAGAATAAAGTAGTAACGCATCTGAAATATGGAATAAGATATACTGAGTGAAATTTTAACAAACAGACCACTCAATCACGATATCAATTAGTTAACAAACATTCAAGTATTTTGAAAACACTAAAATATAAAAGCTTACATTAACACAAGGTATATAACAGTCCCAATAGTTGATATTGTATATTCACGTAAAATAAAACAAAATTGAAAGACTTACTCCTCTGGACTCTAGTTCACGATAAATATTTGCATTTACATCAAAACGCCATTTTTTAAAAGCTCGTCTTAATAACTGTTTAATTCCTTTACGTGACAATTGAATATTACGAGATATCCATCCATTTTCAAATGTCCACTCTTTTAATTTCCTTGAATTTAATAAGTAAAATAATTATTTAAAAAACTGAGTTATAATTTAAGATTTATATAAAAGTTCAGTAAACCAAAACAGTAATATGGTATACATATTCATTATGAGCAACAAAAGATATGTAAACATACGACGTATACCTAGCTGAAGTTTTTATCTAACCTAGACCTTAAAAAGCCATGAACGTATATGTATATGCAGTATTCTTTAATGGAAAAGAATAAGGATATTATGCAACTGATAGCTAGAAACTTATGAAACCTTGGAAATGTATAAGCTAAATCAATCAACAATATGATACATCATTTACACATCATATTTGCGTTGTCTTTACCTACTCCACCATTCCTCCAATTCTGTTGTTATTTCGATTGCTCTCCGATTTCTTCTCTGTTCATTTCAATTCAATTCTCTGCTGCCAGGCGTTCCACTTCCGATTGTGCCTACATACTACTTATATCTGTCAGCATAGATAGCATACACCACATTAACAATGTGTTTCTGATTTTAAATTATTGTTGTGTTTCCTAATACAGATGATAGTAATATCACGACTGAAATACAGTAGAATATTTGTTACAATTCTTCTATGAGCAGCATAACCTGTTTAGATTTGGAAAACAGTTATTCAACTTAAAACAGTCTCATTGAAGTCATGAACAGATCTAAGTTAGATTAACATTAAAAACCTAAGAACGCTGGATATAATCGTTTGTGTTTAGCATGAACTATTGTATATTATATTAGTATGCACAAATGAATTATGCTTAGTACTCAAACTTTCAATATGAATTCTATAAAAATAAAATTTACTTTGTTACAGGTAGGATACTGCGGAAATGTGGTGCAACTAAATGATATATTGGATGTGATTGTGATACATTACGTCGTAATGACACATAGATTGATTCCAATATTAAATGGGTTAATAATCGGCCAACAATCATATGATGACAGGCATCAGCTAGATTAACCCATAATTTTGCTTGTAACCATATTGAAGTTGGGTCAGTTGGAAGAACGATCTAAAATAAAAGCATTATGCTTTGTTAATGGTCAGTCAGCGACAACGTAGGACCAGGCACATATATGCATCGGTCCAAGTTGCCATACCTCGTTAGCACAACAAGATGTTAATGGTATAAGTCATAACTTGAAGAAAAGTTGTTACTACTACTACTACTACTACTACTACTACTACTACGAAGGCGTATGTAAACATGTAATGTGATTTATACTCGAAGAGAAGAACATAAAGTAAAAATTAATATCTAAATTTTTTATCATATTTTAAGTAAAACGTTAACAGTAGTAAAATACAAACAAGTGCTCTACAGGTTCCATCAACTGAAAAAATATCGTATTTTTGGAATAGGTTAATGTATTTGCTTTGTCTATTAGCAGGATCAAACTACTGCAATTACATTCAACATAAATGAGCTTCTATTGTGGTGTCGTCAAACATATTACGATAGTACTCAATAAACCTATCACTTCATACACTTTAGCATCACCTAAAGCCTAGTGAGTTTTGAAAATCTATTATTGTGGATTTTGTGGACACCTAGTGAATTTACTTGACCAAAGATATAAGCTTCTGGTGTATGAAGTGATAAGTGATCGAATTCACTTGGTTAATTAATAATAGCAAGAATGCGAGAGCAATCAAATTTATCAAAATGAGGATATTTTGCTGAACTCATAGATATTAAAGGTTGAAGTCAAACTTAAATAGGATACAGTCTTCAGTCTCACATTGCTCCGGTAAGTCCAGTCTCAAATATTTAGTTGCACAACACGTCATTTCATCCTTTCAGTCGTAAATTCCTTTTGTTCATTACTGCTTCACTATTTGCTCTCTACTCATTTTATTCTGCAAATCTATCTACTGCTTAGCTTTTGGTATCAATTTTCATTTTCTAGGAATTCATCGCAAAGTGCTTTTTTGAATTTTTTTCCTCTAGGATTTTCACAGGAATTATCATGTGAATATTTTTTTAAACTCTTTGATGTTTTTCTTATCTTCATTATTATGACTAAAAGCATGTACATTGGTTATAAATAATTATTATATTGTTTTTAGGTTATAAACTGTTGAAGAAAATCTATGAAATAATTAGATTCATATGATTCTTCTACACTCATTATTTTTGTTTCATTCGAGTGCAGTGGATTAAATGAACACAGAATATCACCTTTCAACTTACTTGACTAAACTACAGTACACTGTATTGGGAACGCAACATTACATACAAATGTCAGTTCAAATTTATATCGGATCTCCGAAGTACCATAATAGCAATATGGAATTTGAAAGTGAACAAAGATATTATTCAAATCTGTAAACAATAGCTACAAACGTGTCATAATAGCTAAGTATGACACTATGGAATATTATTATGGGAGCGTGTTCCAAGGGTTTATGAAACACACTCGGGGTTTCGAAACATGGTTGCTCCCGTCCAGAAGTGTAGAGTTGTACTTTATGGCAATAACACAGATACAAAGTTTGTACTTGAAAGTACAGGTAGTTTTTTTTGTAATGGTTAACTATTCGGTTGGATACAGATATCTGGTATCGTGAATATCCATATATCGGTCAATGATTTTTTTACTATATGCAAAGTTGGATAACTGGATAAAGGGAGCCATTTAAAACACTAGTGTCAAGTAAGTTCGGAAACCAACTAAGATTATTTTAGTTATCATCACAGAACACTCGTGTAATCTCTGAAGAATCACTTCAATCTGAGAAACATTTTAAATACCATTTCCTGAAATCGCTAACAATTCATTGAAATCATGAACAGATCAATGTTAGACCACCATGGAAAACCTGAGAGTACTGGACAGTCGTTTTATCTTAGGATGACAATCCTCAGCAGTGCGCATCCACGATCCTGCACACAGGAATTAACCACAGGACCTTCTCTCTCGCGTGAAAAATTAACCTTCACATTGATCGGTTCATGATTTCAATAGAATCCAACAGACTCCACAACCACATATTGAAAATCATAAACATTTTTCCGAGTGATACAGTAGTACACCGCACGAAGTAAGTGACTGGAATTGCGCGAATGATCAAGAAATTAGATATCGTTATTGCTAAGTATGATATGGTTGTTGAGATAATTAATCTAAAAGACCAATAAATTATTCAAAAATACATTTCTTTACCAAAATGGTATTCTGTTGGGATGAACCCCACCCACAAGATTGCTTGTAGATAGTATGTAGCGGAAAGTGGCGTCGAAACTGTCACAGTCGTCAGACCAGCTGTGAAGACAGTTCGGTTTACAGAATACACTGCAAGATGCAAAAGGGTGATCGAAGCCTATGTATAGGTACTATATAAACACTTTTTAATTTCTTATAATAAACATTCAGCCCATTGCCCTATTGTACATCATTATACTATCGTAACTGTACGATTAATGTAGCTTTTCCTGTGTGATAAGCAAAAAGTTTGAATGGTTGCACCTCTCGTATATTCCGTGACAAATATTTAGAGGATAAGTAAAATAATAAAATACAATCACTCAAAATAATAGATTTATACGAACTTCAAAATTTAATAACTTGTAGAAGAGTGGGAATTATACATTTGAAACAGAGTGCTTACCCCACTTGCGTCATTTGAATTACGATTCAATTGAATTGCAATTGGCTTTAATTGTCTCTTTTCAGTATAAAAAAAGATAGCTAATGGTGCACACAATTCTCGACCACGTTTACAACTAAGTCCTTGCATTATATGAAAATCAAGTAAGTACAACCGATTAGCTGATACCATTTGACGCAGTGTCCAACCTTCTAAATAAGGTTTCAGTGAATTTGCTACCATTTCAAAACTACAAATGATTTAAGTGCAAAATGAAGTAACACAAATATATAAATTAATCAGTTTGAAGAAAAAAGGGATAATTGTCCTAATTACTCTATTCCCTAATCATATTTTTATTCTCACAAACAAGTTCATGTTTAAAACACTCGACTAAGCTATAATCACTCGATAGATACTTAAATTATATATATATATATATATATATATATATATATATATATATATATATATATATAAATGTACCAATAGCTGGGAAAATTATTTATTTGACATGGTACTACTTATGAGTAGCAGAATCCAATTAAGCAATAATGAATACGGAATTCAAAAAAATCTCGTTGCGAAATTGTTTGTAAGATACTCATCGGAAATATCAACTGTTTAGATAATAGAATACATTCAGACTAAAACTATATACAGGCGTTTTCATCATTTTTATAATAAGTTAAAATGGACTAAATTCCACGTATTAGAACAAGCTAATGAAGCCTTGTGTGATGATAATATTCCATGGATTGATGCTTTAATTTATTCAAAATAAATACAGGAGGTTACAGTTCAAAAGGACTGATCCACGGTGTTTTCAAACAACCGTCTTAATTCGGCTATCTCATTAGCTTGATCATGATAGGATGTTGTTTCAAAAAATGTCAGTCGATATAATCATAATGAAAAAACCATAAAACAAAATTTAAATTAGTGATCGGTGTTGGGGATGAGGGTAAGAATAAAAACGCAAGGCCTTGGAAACTTATTTTTGGGGAGCTATTTTGTTATTTTGTAAATATTTTTTAGGCAATTGGTTTTTGATGTTTTCATATTTTTCTAGTTGTAAAATTTCATTTGACTGATTGACCGTTGCGATCAGTCAGTCACGTTACAGAACCTGGTACGTATGCACATCAGTCCAAGTTCCCGTACTCCATTAGCACAGCGAGATGAAATTATCAAGGCAAATCCCACAATAGTAGAGGCAGTGACAGTATGAGTGGTGATAGAAAGGATTAGGCATCAAAGATGCGATTCAAAAAAAATTATGAATTCAGAAACTTAGAAATTAGAGACAGAATGGATACGCCAGTGCGATTGAAAACGATTTCAACAAATGTAACTCGTAGTCTCTAACTACTGGTTACGATAATCACGTGGACTCCAACCAGATAGTCCACACTTATTACCATGGCTCAATCCAAGTGTCAATGACTTCATGAACTAGTGCCATGTTTCGATTTGGTCGTCCCTAGCTTTCTTAAAGCCTACTTCTACACCATAAAACATCACCTGACGAGGTAGGCTGTGGTTGATATCTCTTTTCGTTTATAAATTGGTGAATTAACTATGATACCAGTACTCAACCTGTTACCAGACATCTCATGGGCGTGTATCAATGCAGATTCATTATTTGTGGCGCATTGTGGACTCGTATTTCATGTATGCAATCACATGACGTTCTGAGCTTGAATGGTACAAAAATAAAAGGTTCTTGAGTAGTTTAGGAACGTATGTATTTGGGATTAGTAATCAAATTTCAGCATACACAATATCTGCGTTAGACGGCTGAGGGTTATGTGGCTAGGCGAAATTCACAACAAAGTGACAACGGGAGTAGGCGAAACTCACAACAACCTATTTCTTTTGAATACCATATTTTTATTCGATTCCATAATTTATCGAACTAAACCATGTTTTTTAAACGTACTAAAAAATAAAAAACTAGCGGTAGTGCAAACAACAAACAACTACAGAAACTGAAGGATGTTAGTAAACGAAGGAGGGTAATAGTAGATCTCTTTGACAAGGATCAAAATAATGAAGATGAATCTCTATCATTGATAATCTATTTCCAAAAGTAAAGCTTCATAATTATGACATGGTATTTCACGAATATTTGTTAATGAACATAGATATATTAGGAGTACTATCATCCATTGTTTCTAAGAAGCAACTGTATTCATCTGGTTATTTCAACATTTACAACGTTCGGATTTGTCTTGAACAATTATTTTCATTGCTCCCACTTGACTACACAATTATTAAAACAAATTAATCACAAATACTACTGGTCGATATCAGTAGTTTTATACAAATCGCACCAATCAACAACGTCAAAGAGTAGAATAGAAATAAATTAGGTTAAGAAAGTAGTTTTTCTAACACGGATGTAACGTCTTTCAAGAATACACAACATAAAACGCAACCTGGAAATCAAGTGATCAATCACAAGTTCTTTCACTTAAACTTTTTGTATGATATAGACGGGCTAGCCGACTCATTTTGTACACCATTAATCTGAGGAATTTAACCAAAACTATTGATACTCAACTAAATGGCAGTAAACTGATGATTCATAATAAAGAGTTGAGAAAAAAACTTGCTCGCCTTTTCGGTAATGTACGACAGATTTGAATAGTAAATGGATTACATCCCCGAATACGTTGTGCACCGAAGCAAATATCATTCATCATCCAAAATTGTAAACTCTGTGAAAAATCAGAATTTTACAATTCAGAAAACAATAGAAAGGAACTGAATAATTACGTACCTAATAAAATAGATAAAATAATTACACGACTCAGGAACTACAAAATCCGACTCAGCGAATAACTGAGACATAAGGTTAGTAACTCTCCGAGAGATTAATAACCTAACCTGCACTATATCTAACAAACAAGTAGGCATCTTTACACCTAAACAAAGTTGAATAATCTTAACCTAAATTTAAACGTCTTTTACACTACTTAACACACACACTAATAAGCCATTTATCCGTAAACAACGTAATGTCTGACACAAACGTGCATCACCCCAGGTTACCATACTACGTCAGAGAGGTTGAAAAGAAAACTAAAACAGATAAAAAAAAGAATCGAAGTCATCCGAGTATCAACGATAGTGAAAAAAATACTAGGGATAGATGATAAGGTTCGAAAAGAAACGAAATAATGTAAAGAAACGTAAGGAAAAGCAATGAAACTCAAGCTCCAAAGAAAGGTAAAGAATGGATGTGTCTGAGTCACCTCAATAAATTTAGACTATTCTTAACTAAGGTCCCCTACATTCAGGTACTCTGCACTTAACGATATAGTTCAGACTAACAGTTAGTGGTTTTATGTCTTAATTTGGCGACTCTTAGCTTTCTTTTAAGCTGATCAAATTATCATTTATGTGTACACAGAGATTGCGATGGATTGATATCTGTTGAAACAAGATTTTCTCTGCCATATAGTTTGTATTACAAATGGTTACAAAATCAAACAACTATTCTCTTACCCTATTTACAGCTTCATTTTTATTAGACCCTTTAATCTCTGAATGAAAACTCATGGAAGATTTGAATCATTAGTGTTGAGTAAAATCCAAGAATCTATTATATTTTGGTCAAATTTTAAAATTCAAGCGATATTTGGCTAAAGGAAATTTACTCACCACAGGTTCAGTAATATTATATTTCTTATAAAAGTTTCCCAATGTATCGAGAGAATCCCAAGACTCTTCACTTATGTACTCTTCAGCCAGACCAGTACGCTCAATAACTTCCAGAACTAAAGGCTCGATATCCCACTAGATATTTATTTTAAATACCATGATTATCACTTACTCGAGAGTCTGATGAGAACAACTCCGAAGGTGGGATTTCTTGTAACTAATTAGTAACAGATAAGACTAAGTTATAAATGAACTCACTTCGACTGGTAAACCCTTTGAACGTTGAAATAAAGTAAAAAATTGCATACGTCTACTAACTTCCTCTTCCCTTAACTCAGGAAACGGTTCCAGTTGAGGAATCCAGGCCTCACAGTCATGAACAACATATTGATGATCTTGGCTAATCCACTGATGTACAGGAAAGAAAAAATATTTCCATTCAGCAGTCATCCCAAATCTTCTATCTCTAATAATTACTCTGTCTAAAAACCAAGCAGGTAGTGGATAAGACTGAGTAGTACACCAAAATTCGATATGGTGCAGTCGTTTAAACACCTACATTACAAAGTGATCAATATTGTGTAAATCAAGATTTACTTTAAGTCGACTCCAGGCCTGTAAATCAATGGTGAATTTCGCTTGTGTATAGTCGACATCATTTTGAAATATATTGTCCAAAGTAATTGTTGGTGACTGATTACCACAGTGATCAAACATGACCATGTTAACTCCGGGACCCAATTCATCGCCACTGTAGTCTCCTGTTACCACACACACTTCAAACGCTATTTTGGTGGATGTTCCTCCCATGTTTATGCGCAATCTTCATAAAATTACAAGATATTTTTGACTGATCTGTAATCAAAACACATAAATAATATGATTTCGCTTTAATAACCTGATCACACCGACCGAAACGTTATCAGTAATATCACCAATAGGAACATTGATAAACCGAGTTGATGTCTAATTTAATACACATAACAATAATATGGAACCCTAAATTTGTTCCAAGTACTTTAGTAGTTGCAAGAAGCAAGTGAGCAATGACTTTACAAGTGAATTTTAACAAAGTATCCCTGAAGCAAGGTAAATAACTACAGGTGAAACGAAGGATATATTAATCCAATCCTAAAGTTTACAATAGGATGATAGAATGTTTAGTCAAATGTTTTGGAATAAAAGTAGCTAAGCAGTGATGAAATATCAATGACTGAGATAAACCGCGAATTCTTCCTCGAAAAAACCATAAGTGCCTTACGAAGTAATGTCAAATAAATCTGATGAGGCGCATAACCACCCATATCATTGTCGTACGCGTCACTATTTGGAAACTAGATATTAATGGAGTTAACCCTGAATAGGGAAACATGATACTTAATGAGCATACGCATCTACCTGGTAAAATTTAAATAAAAACTTTACATTTTAGGATTAAAAACCTCGATGATCCTTCATTTATAGTTTGGTACCAGACACTAAAACAACTAAAAGCACAGTAAACGAGAGAGGCTGGAGTTTAAGGATAATGATTGAAAAATATGTGCAAAGTTTAGTCATTAGAAAGACGAAACTAACAAAGGAACAAACCAAGCCTGTTACAGATTAGGTTTGGTTGATAAAGCCTATTAAGCAAGAGTACACATGACAATCTGAAACAAAGAACTACTTCACAATGTTAACTCTGAAGATTCATGGATATGAGAAATGTGATTTTTAGCGAACCCATGAGAGTCTCGTTATTCTATACATTACCATATGTAACATGCCATAAATAAAAATCTTCTAAATTTATCCTTTTAAACTTGTTATCGCAACCGACACGGAATACCTTTTTCATTGGTGGTCATTAGGGTAACATTGACATCAAAATAAAGGTTAATAGGGTAGCTACATACAGTGAAGTGGTACTGACTAGCCGAGCTTATTAGAAGCTGGTGTTAAATATACGGACACTAAAATTTGCCAAGACTATATAAGTCACATTAACTAAATAAATCATAGGAATATTGGGCTTAAATAGCGTCGCTGCTACACAACTATATGCAGCTAGCAGGAGAATGCAGCTTCTCAAGTACGACAATGTCATGTTTACTTTTAAGGAAACTTTACAGTACGTTGACTGAATAAAACTATACCTAAACCTTAAGGACCTGCTATTAGCTATAAAATAACCTCTTGTTAACGATATTGCCTAAACTAGAACATTAGGCGTAATCAATATTCCGTACACAGAAGTGAGAGAACATGAGTTTGACGGACCAACAACGTAAATATTGACTTCATACGTACTCTTACAAATTTTTATTTATATCAGATTTAACAGTCCCAACTTCACATTTTTCCAACTACTCACAAAACGTTTTGAGACCTTTTATTCGGCCTCATATATGTGTGATTTAATTTTCAGCTGAAAGTCTTCTATGGTAACATTTTATCCCCGAGGTCTACTGAGACTGGCTGTGAGCAATATCCTTTTCAGTGACTTGTTCATGACAATTTTAAACCATTTTTATGCAATATGTAATAAATTGCCTGAAAGAAGCCGGATTAATTATTATCCATTTATACGCAACACAAAGGCTATTCAAACATGTGTAAGTTGAACGCATACTAATTCAAAGGTTCATAAATACTGCATGTTGTGTGACGTGATTAATAAAAAAGGGAAAATCCGTAATAAATGTACGATTCAGCGAGAAGTCTGCAATTTAGGATGGTAAGAAATAACCAGTAAACAATTAAAGTGGTTTCAAGTGTAAAATTTTTATCCCAAATTCCATCAAGTAAAGTATATATGCAGAGTATTCTAAAGACAAAGTCAAACCACATTCATCGCACAGAATTACAGACAAATCCTGTGATCACTGATTTACTACGAACAGCTTAAAATAACATTACTTCTACACTGACCTTAAAAAATACATCCGAAATAAGATGAGACTAATATGGTTCTTAATCTATAGAAGGAATATACTATTCCTACTGGATAAAAAACATAGAACCATGGATTTGTAAGTTCAACTTGTTAAACCGCAAGAAAATTCAAGAAAATCAAAGTTGACTATAAGAAGCTGATTTCAGAAATTATAGTTCAAAAATGAAGAACCAAGATACATCATTTTATCTACGCTAACGGGTAAACTGACAAAATATGGATCTGTATGTGACAAACATACCACCTACTGGTGATAGTCTTCTGACCATATTTTTCGCAGTCTTTTATCGAAATTGTGCATCATATATACGCTAGCATACCAAACCTAACAAATACTAGTCCAATCTGAAGCAATACTGAGTGACTCAAACAGTACTAGAGGACGAAAAGCCACCATTTAGAGCAAGACTACAATAATTGAACAAATAAATCAGATTTGCAACGATGACTCTCGAATTTTGACGAAAAAGAAATTCATTTAAATAGCCGTATAGCATTTCGGCATATTCGTTGATGTTATTTCGCGATGATAACACTAACCACGGTCCTTAACCCTAACTTTGAAACTGCACCTAAATTCAAATTTCTCGAACTAACTCGTAATTCTTTTGAGCTATAGTAAGGTGTTTTTCCTAGATCCCTCTGACCTGACTCAAATGTCATCCATAAATCGATGCCTCACTACATGATCGATATGAGATTATAATTTCATAGTATACTGTGATTAACAGTTTCAGTACTATATTTCAACACTCTGCATCATTATGTCGAGCTACCACATATAATAGAAAGTCTATAAACCTGTTAAATCATTGTTGTTTTCTTCTTGATGTAAAGTAGCAGTTCATAATTTTTTGGGTGTTTCCCGTGAGATTTGTTTCTGACGTCAACTGGATTCACTGACATACACATTGTCGTCTTTACTTTACACTTGTTAATGTGATTAAAATAAAGTAAAAGTGTGATTGAAAAGCTGGGATTATGCGCACAAACAAAGGATCGACACTAGTAACCCCCATACTCTGGGAATACTCAAATAGCCCCACGACCTCAATACTAAACAAAGTGAACGATCAAAACAAAGACGACCTTTAAAGTATGAGTGTCAAATGCATAGTAATTACTATGCATGAATTAATCCAGTTTTTAACGAAAAACATGCCAGAGAGGTTGTCATATCTGTATTAATTTTGACCACTAAGATAATGCCTTTCGATATATAATGTCCATGAGGCGAGCTGATATGGACAGATTGATTTGTTTGTAATAGCTTCCTTGTTTTAAAATATGCTTTTAAGCTTTTGATATCGTTCACTGTACGTATTTTAACAAGTTGGCTGATCTGTAACCCGTGAGCAAGACTTTTGTTCATAGTGAACTTGCCACCTAGTGAAATCAAAAGTCAGAAGCGAAGAGGTTTGAAGATATATTTGATTAGTTATCAATATACCGAGAAGTGACTGATCTAATCTGGCTAGTGTTTGCAGGGGGTTTTGGGAACAGTGTTCCCACTCATGATCTGGTACGGATGCATGACCAAGCGCTGTCAGCTAGATAAATCCATTAAAACTAATGTAATCAGCATCAAACATCGAAGACTTATCAGTCTAAAAAAACTCAGTATGCATAAAACTTTGCTCGTCACTTAACCAAAAACACAATTCCCTCTCTTATACGTAAGTGTTTAACCATTAGAGCACACCATCTTTCTCCAGTTATTTGTCAGCTGTTAAGGCAATGATACTAACTGGTAAACCTACACAACTTCCAAGAACTTACTGTGTTCAGTAGGATAACTTGACCCTAATAAGATACTATTCTGCACATCTTGACCGCCACACTTTGCCTCAACGTTCCTGAACGGCTCACTAACGGAAATTAAAGTACAATGAGTTAAGAGTTACTGCGAACACGGAAATTGCAAACTAAATATGTAAAGTATAAATTGAGAATTAAGAGCTTTGCTGCGTAACTTGGTGTACCTAATTAATGATATGTTCACTTTGGATAAATACAGACCATAAACAGATACACAAGTCGCCACATGTATATTAGATTGTACTTTTGTAGTTCATAATTGGTCAAAATACAGACAATTATTGTGGTCCTATTTTAAGACTATGCCACAAGTCTGTGACGAAGATAAGACTCACCAACAGTTTTCTTTAAACGAATGTTAGGAAATCATCGAGTTGTCTAAGATTCATTTCATCTGATCCTATGTCGGAATTGTACTGACTCCAAAATTAACTTCGATGAATGGAACATGAAATATAAACCTATCGTTAAACTCCATATATAATACTTAGGTTAACCTTTTTGTCCGACCGTAATGATGAAAGACAAACACAATGTTAGTTCAAACATTTGTTTACTGAAACAGATGGTATGAAGTGCAACATGAAGAAAGGTTTATAAATTTCGATAATGCAATGAGAAGACGAAGTTTATCAGAATTATGTGATATATTAGCGCAATACATTTCGAACAATCTGATCACACATATACTTGTTAAGACATTTTTATATGAAAATTAAAGGTCAACTAGACAGGTTAAGGTAAGAAAATAAATAAAGTACACAAAAACAATGTACTACTCTAGTAGACATAATTCTGATAAACTTCGTCTTCTCATTGCATTATCGAAATTTATCAAAGGGACTAGTTGTTTTAAAAAGGTTTATAAGCTTACTCACTTTTAAAAAGCGTGATTCATTATTTATATTTAGGCATAAAAACAAGCATAAAACATATCACAACTAGAGTGAGTAATTAAAAACACGTGTAAATACGCTCATAGTTACACAATCAATCATACATATGAAAACCTGGCAAACTCAAATGTATGCCTAAATATTAGCTTAATAAGATAAGATTGGTTTATCTGTTCGAAAGTGTTATGTCTTGTAAGTTGATTGTAGTTTTTCCCCGTCGCCACTGTTACGTCTGGCCGATTGTGAACGCTATACTTGCTTCCCTAAGATAGTTCCGTACCCCCGAGCTAGAACTATACACTGACTTAAAGACCAGAGAAAATGCACAAAGTATGAGGGAAGCGCTTTACTACAGGATTCATTTATGTACAGAAAATGCAAGGGTTTTATAGTAATTAAGAGACCTTGAGTTTCCATAGTAGCAGTGTGTTAAACAGCCAATCAGGATCTCGCTATTTTAGTAGCATAGTTTCTATTAATCGCTGATTGGTTGAGGCTCTTTATGAGCCTCTGGAGGCTCTGATAGAGTTTACTGTAAGCCGACTTAACAGAAAGCTTAAACACTTCACATAGGTTTGGATTGGTATCACGTTCTATGTCACTAATTTTGTGTCAGTGATGCATGAAAATCTGAGAGTCTTGCTCAGTTGATACACTGATTGGTTTTCTTCAAGACTAAGAAGAAGGACGTTGAGTCATTTCGAAAGTGCTAATTCAATTACTCCATCTAACGTCCTAAACGTTTCCGAAAGTACGTAGAATTTATTTGAGACCTGGAATCATTCCTTTGACCATTCTTGAGTCTTGTTCACATTTGAAAATAAATGCCCTCTCCAGATTGGTGAGATTGCCATATGAATAAGGAAGAACAACCAGGTTTTTGTTTTATATATATATATATATATGAGAGATAACTTGATAAAATGAACTATTCCCAAAAAATCAATTTGAACAAGTCACTGTGTTGGTTATCATACAGACGAATTGAGGTAAGTTAATGAAACGTCCTATAAAATCAATAAGTCGAAAGTGCAACAACTTAGGTTGATTAGTTAAGAGTTGACTTCAAACAACCAAGTATATGTCAAAACAATAGAGCTCAAATATTCACTCACTTCCTCATTCTGTATAAACATTATCTTTCCTATTATCTTATTTTGAATGTTGAAAAGCTTTGTGTGTTTGAACAGGCAACCCTCAGCTCCAGTGTGACTGCCTGGCGATCTAAATAAAGACCTATTCAGCACTAGTCTGATTTCTGCTAGCAATAGAACGAGAGTTACCTACAGGCACGAAACTGACGAGCTCAATCGTAGCGAAACCTACTGCACTCGCAGAACTAAAAAGGCCTGTCTACATCACCCTACAATTCAGAGGTCAGTCAAACGGACTTGCATCGAAACGAAGGCTCATAAAAATTGTTAATATAACGAACCATGCAGCAAGGATCATCACGGTTGAAGAAACTTGTTGTGGGTCTTAGTGAAAAAAGATTATTCAAGACATAACGGTGAGTATGGTTACTAATGACATAACAAAAAATATTAACACTATAGGCCAAAGTGTCTGGTCCTGAGTAAAGCGAAACGTTAACTAGCAACACTCAGGGAAATGATATATTAAATTACAAAATAGCAGTAACTTTTATGAAACAAATGTTCCTTTTAAGCTTCTTCTGAACTAACAACCACAAATGAGACTACTTAATCAGCCAAGGTTTCTCTGAACGTGGTGACATCAATAGCGCTGTGAGAAAGAACAAATCGGAGATAATCGGGACCAATACTTCACCGTAGTATAGAATGACCTGAAAGTGTAATACTACCATTATAACCTTCAGTCATTGACCGTAGGCAATAATGTCGAATGAAAGATGTCAGAAATAGTGTTTATATTTATAAGAACAGCAATAGCGTGTACTGGTAAAAACGAAATACTATATTCATTTTTACAATTGATAAAGGGGAACAATAGATTTTGGGTATAAATGTGATTGCATGTAAAGAGACCCAAATAACGAAAAAATCTTTGTTTTACCATGGAACATACGTTTCACAATATAACTCCACCCTAGAGCATACGTCAGTGAGGGTGACACCGATGTAAACTCGCAATGCCTTAGAAGAAAAACGTGCACAAAACACGACGAAGAGAAGAACAAATAAGTGATAAAACGGTTGCTTAACTGTTGCGTCACACCCTACATTTTTATCAAGCAACATAAGGGTGCGGCCATACATCCGACAAAAGAAGTAACCGTGATTCGTGAATAAAGTTATGTGAGATATAGAACAGTTTCAAAAATGTGTAAGATGCAATGAATCAACAAGTATGGGTTATAAACATTCAACTTCCTCTATTGATAAACAATCATTTGAAATAAGTCATCAATTTCACCCTAACTTAATCTTTGTGGTTCTATATGAAGATATTTAAGAAAATATGCCGAGGTTTATTGAAGCCCTAAGTATACGGAAACTCAAACTCACCTCCATGAATGAAGAAACAGTTTGTGCTTATTCTAGATTTACCTTAGTAATGTCGTCTTATCAAGATTTACTTTTTCACAATACTAACTTTATCATTTTGTTTCTAGTTATCTTCCACATGTTTGGTTGACTTATCGTTTCACTAATATAAATGTTCCTATCAGTTACACGCATGATCAGATTGTTCGAAGTGTATTGTGTTAATATGTCACACAGTCGTGATAATCGTCGTCTTGTGATTATGTTATTCCGATACACGACCAAAGCATTTTAGGGTTTTCCTGGACATCTGTTTCCGTTAACAAGCGTTTGTGCTTCAGTTAATAATTTGGCTTCATGCTGCGTAATTACTCGGAGTAAAAGTCGTAGGTTTCGTTCTAACATACGATTGATACATCACGTGTTTTGTAGAGTTTAAACCATCACATAAATTATGAAAAGTAGTCTTGTTCTTTGTTCTCGAACTTTCGTTTGTATAACCGCTGTAAGCTCATACAAGACAAAGACACCTTTATCTACGTTCCCTGACAATTATGTTGACAGTACCATCTCATAAAGCTAGATATTTATAGCGGTTCGCATCCATTTAGAAGGCACTTTGTTATAGAACACACAGTAGCGTGAGTGAGGTAAGCTGGAATCGAGGAGAATAGAAGAAATGGTGAATCAACGACTCAGCAAGCGCACACAAATTTTTAACATCAGAGTTGAGCACAGTCTTCTCCCTAGTCTATTGAATGCTTTGTCAGCTATGGAATTGATAGCGATTTCAAACGATGAGATGTAACGTTCTGTCTGACGTTTGGAACGAGGGTATGTAGGAGAAGTGAATAGATATTTGTGTCCAACATT